ATAAGCTGATAAACTTGCCAGTTTTGATATGCTGTGTGATAGTAGCAAAGTGACTTTCAATCATACACCGTATATACACGCATACGTATGTGATTAACATTTAATTATTTAATTGATGAAATATAATTTCTCTATCTACATTTAGGATCTCCTGATTCTGATTTCTGTCCTGTATTTGTTTAATTCTGTCTCTTGAAAACGTGTCATCGGCTAGATTCTCGATATTCATTAAATTGTCTGCATATGAGTAGGAAATTGTAGTTTACTCAAACATTTTCACTTTATCACTTATACGGTGTTAAATGTATTAATATACAACAAAATATGGTTCAGTTTTTAAATATTAAGATTATTATTAAGAAATTTGTACTTAATATAAAGATCTCTTTGTAGAGTATCGGAATTTATGACTACATCGGCATATTCTCGTATATATAATCATTTGATAACTTATCAGCAGTATTTTAACACAAACAATTATATTAAATGCAATACAAAATTTTATATTTATGTATTAATAATCAAATTACATTCAATTTATATATTTTGTCTTTGGATTTTGTTACACGAGGATGGACATAGGTCCAAAAATACTAAGGATCACTCTGATAAATCAGCTTTTTGTATTATGATATTATAAACAATAATAATAATAATAATAAATCTTCAATACATGTTTTATTTTTATTAGGAGTTAAAATGTCCCAATATAGTTTGATATAGTGTCAAACTTCAATTTAGTACCGCCATTTGTTNCAATTTATCATTTCGAAACTAAATTGTATTTACTTTAGATATGTAAATAATACTTTACTAAGATATAACCATTAACAAATGATGATACTGATTATACAGAATCAATACATAATTAAACAATACTCTATTAATATGGAAGAAATTTAGTTTACAAATCTTTCAACTATTCTGATGTCATGTTTATACAGCTTGATCATTTAATTTGTAGAATATCAATGCCACTAAAGTTCTGACAAACTGCTAGCAGATGGCTTGTGTCTAATAATAAGCTGATAAACTTGCCAGTTTTGATATGCTGTGTGATAGTAGCAAAGTGACTTTCAATCATACGCCGTATATACACGCATACGTATGTGATTAACATTTAATTATTTAATTGATGAAATATAATTTCTCTATCTACATTTAGGATCTCCTGATTCTGATTTCTGTCCTGTATTTGTTTAATTCTGTCTCTTGAAAACGTGTCATCGGATTCTCGATATTCATTAAATTGTCTGCATATGAGTAGGAAATTGTAGTTTACTCAAACATTTTCACTTTATCACTTATACGGTGTTAAATGTATTAATATACAACAAAATATGGTTCAGTTTTTAAATATTAAGATTATTATTAAGAAATTTGTACTTAATATAAAGATCTCTTTGTAGAGTATCGGAATTTATGACTACATCGGCATATTCTCGTATATATAATCATTTGATAACTTATCAGCAGTATTTTAACACAAACAATTATATTAAATGCAATACAAAATTTTATATTTATGTATTAATAATCAAATTACATTCAATTTATATATTTTGTCTTTGGATTTTGTTACACGAGGATGGACATAGGTCCAAAAATACTAAGGATCACTCTGATAAATCAGCTTTTTGTATTATGATATTATAAACAATAATAATAATAATAATAAATCTTCAATACATGTTTTATTTTTATTAGGAGTTAAAATGTCCCAATATAGTTTGATATAGTGTCAAACTTCAATTTAGTACCGCCATTTGTTCACTTTTATAAGTGGTACTAAATCATGTATAACACTATAACACGTACGGCACTAAACTGAAGTATCTCAAACAATAAGAATTATATTTAAAACTTTGTATCAATAGTTATTAGTAAATAGTAAATCTTCAATACATGTTTTATTTTTATTAGGAGTTAAAATGTCCCAATATAGTTTGATATAGTGTCAAACTTCAATTTAGTACCGCCATTTGTTCACTTTTATAAGTGGTACTAAATCATGTATAACACTATAACACGTACGGCACTAAACTGAAGTATCTCAAACAATAAGAATTATATAGAGTAATGAAGTTTACGCACCAGTTTGAGAGTTTGAAAGTCGTGTAATTTTGTGGTAATGCTGTTTGCAATATGAAACTCTACAAAATTTACAGATATAATAACAACTCTCTAATTAATATTTATGGAGATTAGTTCATGAGCATTTATCAGTATTTTGTACGCTAAATTAAAATTTTAAATTCTGTTTTTTTGTTTTTTTTTTACATGTCTTTAAGTTTAACAAAATCTAATGATCTTTGGTGCAAATATAGCAATAAGAGAAATATTAGATAGGTTGAGGCACACATTTTAAACATGTAAACGTGTACTTGTGACGTTCGGCGCCGCTTTCCCATAAGCCTAAAAGTTTGACAATGATGTTTGGATAGTCGGTGGAATCACGCTCGACATTCCAAACACCATCGTCAAACTTTTAGGCACACGTACACGTTTAAAACGTGTGCCTCAACCTCTCTACTTACTTGTTAGTTAAATACAGTATTTATGAAATTGTTGATAAATTTTCCTCTGATAATTCTAAATATTCATTCAATAACATGTAGGAGTATAGAATATTTTACGTATACATTATTATTTTTATTTATGTATTCTTTTTACATGTTGTTTATTATTTTTGTTTATTAAACTTATTTCATCCATCACTAAAACTATCGTAAAAAAAATAAAACAGTAATAATAATAATAATAAAGCAAAATGCATTTCACTCTAACATGAATAATTTAATATTCTCAGAAAATTGACTTATCTAAGTTATTGATCATTAAAAAAAGGAAACAACAGTTCTATCATTCAACTAAATAATACAATAAAAACTAACAGAAATTTATTCGCTCCGGTAAACAATAATAAACAGTACAAGTGTAAATTAATTATAAAATCAATATAAATTTAATCTAGGTAAAATCTGGTTTGCTTTATTAAACAATATACAATAAATCATAAATAAAGATAAAGAGAGAATAACATAAATAGGAGATACGAGAGAGATTATTGCTATAAAATGAATAAAATAATGAATAGTTATTCAGAATTCAAAACACCAATCGAATGCTGAATGTATTTACAAATCTATTTTGAATGCCAATTACGGATTTGATACGGAAGGTATTTTAAAATATTTCTGGGTAAATAAATAAATAGAAATATTAATTTACAATTTAATTGTAATTCAAGAAGTTAACAGTTACTTTGCTTTTTAAACGCAAAAACCCATCTGTTATTTTCCGTTCTTCTGATCTCCAGTTTTCCTCCATTGATTTTTTCTTTTTCGTCTAGTCTTAGTCATCATCTCATTTCGTTTTTTTGAGCGTCCTCCAATACAAATTCCTGCAACTTAACTATTGTCGTTCTACCTTCTGATTAAGTGTCCAAAAACTCATTTTACTTTTAAAAAGAACAAAGTGGAGACGAGAACCTTACGTCGGACTTTAATTCTCCACCCTTTTTTTAAACTTTTTCTGCCCTGTAAGCACTAACATGTCCCTTTTTTCCATACCCACAATTGGGGTGAAAGGTGATAAAGGATAGAACTTAAAATCTTAGTTTTTTTTTGTAATAAGTTTAAGAAAACTCAGACAGACGAATAAACAAACTTAAAAACTCTCCCACCATTCAAAATAATTCCAAAATTTAATTCTCTTTAAGTTTCTTTAGATGGATTTTTTCCCTCGTTTATAATTGCCCACGCTTTAAATTTATCAATGAAATAAAACTACGACTTTGTATACAAAAATTTCAAATTTTAAAGTACGTAAATGTATTTTTCAGATATATTTCTACATAAAGCATTTGCGCTTAGTTTAGAACTTAAACATATGTTTCAATATACATATATAAATTCATATCAACACTAACCAACACCAAAGTAAAGTTATTTACATACCTCAAAGCTGGTGTGAAACAGAAAACTATTTGAGTAACAGGCTTTGAGGTATGTAAATATATAAATTCAATTTAAAATTATAACTCTGATGTTAAATTGATTAAATAATAATGAATTTTAATTTCTGCAGATTCGACTTTAAACGTTCAACATGAGAACGGCCAAGTTAAAGCTGCGGAAAGCAATTATCACACGTACGCGGTAATTTCACACTTTTACGGCGCGTATATTCGCCGTTACCGACGTACGGGTCCTTCGAGGGCTCGTATAGGGCGCGAGGATGAAGCGAACCCACGGGCGTCTGCAGAAAATTTCCCGTGAAAAAGAAAGCTTCCAAGAAATAATTATATCAATAAATTATTGTTTAATTATTTTGTATTTATTTAGTTGTATGATATAAAGCATTGTTATTTAGTAAAACAAGATTTAAATTTAACACAAAATGCTGCCTATCTCTAATCAAAGTTGCTTATTAATTAGATGACAAGAATTTATAACCATATTTGTTCAATAAAAAGTTCTAAGATTAATTCCCTGTTATATTTTCAAAGAATAAAATATTGGAGGATATGAATATTGGCATATACAGTGTAATAGCCACAACATGCCCTCTTACGAAACTCTAAAAAANAGTCGGGGATTTTTCCCTGGAACACTATAGTAGTCCAGGGAAAATTCCCCGACTCGTCCCTCTCGACGACCCTGCAAAAGTAAAAAAAAAAAAAAATAAAGAATTTTTTGCTGGACACTTCGGCATGGCTCTAAATAATCAAAAACAATAATAATTTTTCCAAGAACGTCTCGCGATTTTTCCCTAAATTCAATGTTGTAAATTGAAGTTAGGGAAAAATCGGTAGACTCGCTTTACGACGGTCGAAGTTCGGTCGTAAAGCGGAGGGGTATACTTTGTACACAAACAAGTTCGTCCGATACGAAATAATCAAATAAACATTTGATTTTCCTACAAAATATATTCTTTGTGTCGTCATTTAACCGTTTAGATAAGATTTTTTTCATTATATTTTACGTAAAATTACTCACGATAATCATTAGAAGTCGGTCTATTTTGTTTCGTGCACGTGCGTATTCGCCTTAGTACAGTTTGTCGTCTGTGCCGTCGATGAGGTCGTGATGTGGCGGCCGCTGGCGTCTTTTTCCACAAATAATAAAACTCGACAAGATCACCCTATTAAAAAAAATAATAATAATAATAAACAAAAACAATATCGTTTATTCTCGTTACATTAATATTTAAAAAGTAACGAAATGAAATAATATAATTTAAAAAAAAAATCTCGCACGAATTTATAATTAATTCAATTCCCGCTTCCTCTAAATTATTATAATTCTTTCGACCTAACTTGTCGCTGCGAAGAAAGGACAACGGTGTTTGTTTGCCAAACTAAACACAATTCTGCTTGTCATACAGCTATTAGGAACACCTGCCAAGGTTTTTTCCTCTTCAGAATAAACAATAGCGACGAATTAAAATTTTATATACGCTTTAAAAAATAAATATAAATTATAATAAAATGGCGGAAGAGGGAAATAATCCAGGGGGCGCTTTCGTGATTTAAAAAGAAAAAAAACACGTGTACGATTTTGTGACTTTAAAAAAAATGTCCGGTTTTTAGCGGGATACTTTGGCAATGATCCAATGACTACTCGAACAGGCAGTTTTGATGGTGTTTTCTTCCTGTATATAGATCTTTAGCAGCGCTGTAAGATAGTATTTTCGGATACTGTAGTTTATTATACCGCTCCACTATGGTTTATTTTAACTATCAATCTTTATCACTGTTCTGAGTGGCTCGGTGGAACCTGGTAAATATTTTACTAAGCCTGGGTGTTTCCAAGTTATCTCACCTATATTTTATTCATAAACATACAGTTCGGGAATGAAACCACCAATTCTCTACAAAACACATCAGCTACGAAAGTAAATGGATTTCACTTTCTCTGAGAGGGAAACAAAAGGGTGGGGGGAAGAAAGAATGCGTTATATTCTTCTTCGGCCTTACAATATATATAAATTTATATATATATTTTTTTTCCTTTTTTTTCTATTTCTCTCCTCCCTTTCTTTCTTTCTTCTCGAAGACAAACAATAGATTATACATAAATAATAATTCTTCTATTCGAAATTTAATAAATTGTAAACAAAACTTTCCTCCTTACACAATAGAATTTAAGTAATAAAATATATAAAATTAATACGATAATACGTTAAATTTTAATATATATATAAAACTTACAGTTTCTTTTGTCGGTAGCAATTCTTTGCGGATTTTAAAAAAATTCTTTCCATACTGGCGTAATCCTTTCACGAATTTTTTCTGAAAAAACAGAAGAAATCAATAGGATAATTGTTAAGCTTTCCTCTATTGATTTCACTTATTTAGGATTATTACTAATTAAATTCTGCTTATATCTTTTCTCTTTTTTTTTCTTTTAATCTTCGAACGTATTTAAAATCGATAAATAAATTTAAGAAAACGATTAAATCAATCGTTTATCTCGCTGAATTACTTAGTCAATATGAGGAAAATGTTGGCATATTTTATAAATATAACCTTCAAAGGACGTAAGAGGAAAATTTTTAAGTTATTTAACGACTTTTTTTTTTGTCATTTTTCAGGTACCAGGAAATTAACGAGAATGATAAAATGATATACCAGAATGCATTAGAATTATGGAAAAAAAAAACGAGAATAGACTTCTAATGACACGTATTGAGTGCGTGTGTGTGTGTTAAAACGTTTCAGCACGTTAATTGCTTCCTATTATTCCAAATAAAAACGCGGATGTATGATTTTTATCTACGTTAGAAAATGGAAAATTTATATATCCCTAAAACTATTAGACTATAAAGCGTTTTAAAGTACAGGCCGGCTTCTTAAGAATGGAGTAAATGTTAAAAAAAAAAAAAAGAAAAATTAATTAAAAAACTTAAATATAGTAGTATTAAAGTGATAACAAGGTTTCCCCTATTGAGAAAACGTGACATCATTCCGAATGTTACGTGAGAAAATGAATGCCGGGGTTTAGAATTCCTACTGACTAAGCTAATTCGGGATTCAATGCACGTAATCACCCCTACTACCCGCTAAGCGACCTCTCTCTCTCTCTCTCTCTTTCCTCCACCCCACACTTGGCTTGTGTCCCCCCCTTCTCCGGTGGTGTGCAAATAATGTTTCCATATATAATTACGTTCTGTCCCGTGTTATCGGGTTCTGCAACTGTCCAGTACGTACCTATCTATCATCTGTTATAACGCGATTCGCATTAATGTCTCAGTTTTCAATGGCATGTGACAAACGATTTAGGGGCAAGTCGGCGCTGTTCCCTCGTCACAAATCAATGTCGAGGGTGACATCAACTCAACCAAGGCGATACCGAGCTTCTACAAAACATTCCTCTATATGTAATTATCGTTAGTGCACTTGTCTATATTACAAAATACTTGTTAGATACTAGTACTTCAATCTGATTGAAAGAGCAGCGAAAGAAAACAATGCATTTTCCCAGAAGGTTGGCGATAATATATATATATTTTTTCAAAGCGGCATACTTTTAGAATAAGATTTTAAAGCCAGAAAGGAGAAGAGTTTCTAGGCTTTAAAGCGGTCGATTTATAGCATGTAAGAAGTCTACTGCAAGCTTAGTCTTCGTCACATCTTCAAATTTCGTTTATAGAAATGAAAAAATATACACCGATAGTTTAAATTGGACGTTATCTAATCCTTTACAAAGGGCAACTTTCATAAAATGTCTTTCTTTTTTTCTCTCTCTCCCAAGGAAACGATCATATTCAGTCAGTTCTTCAGATTCGATCTGACTACAAAGGCCCATTCAGTTACCGTATCTCTTATCTGGATATTTTACACCGGTAGCTTTCTATTATGTGAGAAGGCCTGAACAATTGACAGGCATCCACCGACATACAATAAAAGCAGGGGGGAAAAGGAAGGGGAAAAACACCCCTTGTTTTCCTCCTATTCCTCCCTTTTAATTAAGATTGCTTCACTTCCTTTCAAACTAATTTCGAAACGAAAAATTAAAACACATATAGGAAAAAAAAAATGGGCGCTTTTTTTGAAAAAAAAAAAAAGAATTGATTTATCTATAATTTACTTTAAAAGATAAGGTAAAAACTTAAAAAGTTAGGAGATAAGATAAGAAACTTAACGACTTCTATTATCTCTCTTCCTTAAATTATTTATTTTCTTTCAAACTATCAATTTTTAAACTAAGGAAAACATTCATTCTAATCTATCAAGTTAGGATATATAACATTAAAATTATAATAATAATAATTTAAAAACAAATGGCTAAATTAAGGAGATAACTGATTCATTCAATAAATAAATCTCTTTAATTTAAAAGATATTTTCTGTAATTATTAGATTAATAATTCAAAGTTGGTTTCACTGGGAAATCAACAATGTCACATTATCAAATTAAGTTAATCTAGGATAGAATTCTCTTGTGATTTTACATAACACATATATCATGTAATTTGCTTTCTCATTCCATTTTATTGATATTTCTTTACAGCATAAGTTATTTCGGCAAATGCTTTAATTTTTTAAGTTTTTTTTAATTAATAAAATTAACAGGGAAGCAAATTATAAGTGTTGTAAGCTAATTGCAGCTCTCTTCTAATTATACAACATTTTCAAGTGTAAAATGTACTCTTTTAATTTATTAAAATCACTTAACTGCAAGCAAAATACTGTTATAATAAAATGAAAAATTATTACTATTATTATTATAAATGATTTTAAAAAAGCTGTTTTTATTAATAAAAAATAAACAAGTAATAAATTATAATGTTATAAGATAACAGCAACTTTTATTCTAATATAAAATGTATATAATAATTATAATTATTTAAGTCTAAATTGCACTCTAAATTACTTTAAAATCATTTAACCGTAAGCAAAATTCTGATATAAAATGAATTTTACATTTTAAAAAACTTTTTTTTTTATAATAAAATACTGTAATAATATCAATTAAAGAACAAATTATGGCATTATACACTAATGGAAAATCTAATTTAAAATTATTTAATAATATAGCAATTTAATTGATTAAAATATAGATATAAAATTAATTTTTATTTTTATAAAGTTCATTTTAATTAATATTAAAAAAAATATGGAATAAATTATACTGTTGACAGAATATTGAAGTAAATTAAAGTATTTTATATCAGAGTTTCTTTAGTTTCTATGTATAATATAAATTTTTTAAGCAGAAAATTTTCTATTTAATTTATTAAAATCATTAAACCATAAAGAAAATATTGTTATATATATATATATATAAAATTAATTTTTCATTTNGTTTTTTTATGCAAAATTATTATTATTATATTAATCTTTATAAGGAGTAAAAAAAAATCATTTCTTTTATTAATCTTCCTTAATATATCATCATAATTTAAAGCCAAACAAACAATTAATTCTTTAATCATTCTTTACAATAATCCGGAGAGATTATTATTATCATTTTTTTTAATAAAAATCACAAATTAAAAAAAAATTATAAAGTATCTACTTAATTTACAGCTGTTTTCCCTCTTGCCTATTACACTTTTATATTTCACACATTGTGATTTTTCATGCCTGCAGCTGCAGAAAATGAATCAACTGCATTTTTATAGCTGCTTGGAGGACAAAGAGATATATAAAAGTTGTTAAATGATGTTAAAACTGGTTTGGCTGCATTATTTATGTCTTTATGGTCTATCTTTATTGTCTTAACAAAAGAATTATGACTTTGACAAGAATTATTTCATATTAGTTCCTTTTTTACCCCCTGTTCCTCCCTTCTATATACAATAGTAATATAATATATATTGTTCTGGATATAAAGTTTTATTACACTCTTTACCAATAACATTATGGGCTGATATGTTTACTAATAAGGCTGTAATTGCATGGCATGATTAAATATTATTCCATTTGAAAAATGACTTATTATTTTTACTTCTACCTGTCTCAGACTCTATAATCACATTACTAATCAATTGCTGACAATTCAAGATAGTGTAATCAATCATTTTTTTTTTCTTTTTTTGAAATACAACGTGGCTCACAAATCAGTTAACCATTGTGAAGGCTAAATTGCTACCTTATTCAAATAGTTAAGCTTTTTTTTTTTCTTTTTTTATCATGCTTCCATCAATCTTATATACAAGAAAAGCACATTGTTCTATACTTATTTTATGATTCATATTCAAAGTATGTGCGCAGATAACAAAAAGATGATTAACTATAACTATCAGTCGCTATTGCGGATAAATTCCTATTCTTTAAAAATTATATACACGCGGGATGGTCAAAAAGTCAGTTAACTTTTATAAAAACCAAATTAACACTTCATTTAAGTGCTTTCTATTTACAAATTTTATAAATAATTCAAATTAATTAATGATTCTTGTTGTTGTTGTTTGTTAAGTTATGGCAACACAACACTTGGGCGATCTGCCTAGGGGGAATGCCTTCCGGGAAGTCTTTTTTAAGGAAAACTGGTCCCTATTTAGGTGTTACAGACGTGGAGAAAATCTGTAAAACTCCACGTGGCCAGCCCATCCGAGCGAGGCGCGAACCCACGACCGAACTCCCAGCGTTCAGGGTACGAAGACCGCTTGAACACTGGTGGGCAATGATTCTTGTTAGATATGCAAATAAATTACAACACTAACAAATTGCTAGTGTAAATCTGTATAATGATGTAGTACATAGTTAAGTGACTTTTGAGCTATCTGTAATGCATTTTCCCAGAAGGTTGGCGATAATATATATATTTTTTTTCAAAGCGGCATACTTTTAGAATAAGATTTTAAAGCCAGAAAGGAGAAGAGTTTCTAGGCTTTAAAGCGGTCGATTTATAGCATGTAAGAAGTCTACTGCAAGCTTAGTCTTCGTCACATCTTCAAATTTCGTTTATAGAAATGAAAAAATATACACCGATAGTTTAAATTGGACGTTATCTAATCCTTTACAAAGGGCAACTTTCATAAAATGTCTTTCTTTTTTTCTCTCTCTCCCAAGGAAACGATCATATTCAGTCAGTTCTTCAGATTCGATCTGACTACAAAGGCCCATTCAGTTACCGTATCTCTTATCTGGATATTTTACACCGGTAGCTTTCTATTATGTGAGAAGGCCTGAACAATTGACAGGCATCCACCGACATACAATAAAAGCAGGGGGGAAAAGGAAGGGGAAAAACACCCCTTGTTTTCCTCCTATTCCTCCCTTTTAATTAAGATTGCTTCACTTCCTTTCAAACTAATTTCGAAACGAAAAATTAAAACACATATAGGAAAAAAAAAATGGGCGCTTTTTTTGAAAAAAAAAAAAAGAATTGATTTATCTATAATTTACTTTAAAAGATAAGGTAAAAACTTAAAAAGTTAGGAGATAAGATAAGAAACTTAACGACTTCTATTATCTCTCTTCCTTAAATTATTTATTTTCTTTCAAACTATCAATTTTTAAACTAAGGAAAACATTCATTCTAATCTATCAAGTTAGGATATATAACATTAAAATTATAATAATAATAATTTAAAAACAAATGGCTAAATTAAGGAGATAACTGATTCATTCAATAAATAAATCTCTTTAATTTAAAAGATATTTTCTGTAATTATTAGATTAATAATTCAAAGTTGGTTTCACTGGGAAATCAACAATGTCACATTATCAAATTAAGTTAATCTAGGATAGAATTCTCTTGTGATTTTACATAACACATATATCATGTAATTTGCTTTCTCATTCCATTTTATTGATATTTCTTTACAGCATAAGTTATTTCGGCAAATGCTTTAATTTTTTAAGTTTTTTTTAATTAATAAAATTAACAGGGAAGCAAATTATAAGTGTTGTAAGCTAATTGCAGCTCTCTTCTAATTATACAACATTTTCAAGTGTAAAATGTACTCTTTTAATTTATTAAAATCACTTAANAAACAAAAGCGATGCCTTATTCAAGTACTTAATCATTATATACATATATTTTTAATCATGTTTACTCCAGTTTAGTAAAAATACAAAACAAGGTTAACAGAATTTTGGACCACACTATATTTTTTAAAGAACAGAAATAGCCTTACATAAATTCCCATAGGTTTATATACAGAGTGGTCTAGAAGTCAGTTAACCATATTCTTTTGCTGTGTTCCAGGTACACTTATGAATTTGAATCATAAACTGAGTTTAGAATAACATATTTTTCCTTCATAAAATTAGTGGATACATGATTAAAAATATTCGAATAAATCTTTACAATGGTTAACTGACTTTTAGGCCCTGCCGTATATATACATATGTACAAAACTAGTTTCATATTAATGGAACATTGTGAGTTATACACACACATCTATACAGATATTGGCCTAGTTTACACGCTAATTTTCAAATGTTTATCTCTCTTATATTTGGAGATAAGTATAGTATATGTTACACTTGTGGAATACTTTCAGTTATAAATAATTTTCCAGTTTTTTTTTTACACTTTTTATTTAAAATACAAACATATTAGCAATGATACTTTATAAAAATACCTGTCTTATATTTCTCTAATGCACGATGCATAGTAAATGATTAGTGGGCAACTTAAGAATAATAAACGTGAACCAAAACTTATCGGTTTGTAAGCTTACTTCTTCTATTATGTAATATATTGAGCCTTCATTGCTACAGTTACTACTTCAAGGCGAAACATTATACGTGCTTGCTTTAAGCCTATGACAGTGCAACAACTATATTCAAGCCATTCGAAAATAAATTCCACAGCCATTTTTTTTGAATGAATGATAGGTTGGTATAAACCAAGCAGTCGGCATGCAAATCAGCACCATCCATGTTTTGATTACAGTCAACCCCCTATAATACTGGTGATTTTTTCGTTTTATATGAATTCCATGTTGTACGAGTCACTTAGATTTTATAAATACATGAGCCGTTCACAGCCCAGCACACATATTTGTAAAATCTAAGTGATTCGTACAACATGGAATTCATATAAAACAGAAAAATCAACAGTGTTATAGGGGGTCAACTAGTATATAAACAGATCAACTTTGGTTATTTTATTAAAAATAAAACAAAATGCGGATAAATAAAAAGTATTTATAATGAACTACCAATGTTCCATTTGTGGAACATGGATAATTTTTCAAATACAAATGATACAATAATTGGGATAGAAATAAATTATGCACATCAAAATGCCCGCTACAACCTTCCAAATATAGTAACATTAGTCTAAACTTAATTCTCTCGAACCGGAAGTCACTAATTACCTTAAACTAAAAATATCTATAAACAAGATTTTTACACACATTTCAGTCTGTACAAAATCAACAAGACGCTTCGAAAGTTTTAGTTTTAAGAAAATATATGCATAGAGGTATACAAGAAACTAAAATAATTTAAAAAAAAGAATAATTCTGTGTATTTAAAAACTACAAACATCCAAATATATGTTCCATTTCTGGAATGTTGCGCAGATAAAAGATTAATTTAATGATTAAATTTTTCAATGAAGCAAATGAATCATTCTTTTTATTTTATCGACAAACTTCACACTTTAAACTACTGTCTCATCATGTTTACACACACATGAAAGAGAAAAATGATGCAAAAACTTATCAAAGTTTGAAGTTTGATTTAAAAAAAAAAAAAAAAAACAGTTGGCTCTAGAGAGAAGCGGCTTCTCAGATTAACCAAGACTAATCACAGTGATAATTGATATAAGATAATTACTTTAAAACACTGTTTATAATAAAATATAGATAATAAGGATTGTTAAAAAAATGAAGACGGTGATGATTAGAGTATTTTTCAAGAACTTTTTGATAGAATTTTTAGGAATTAAGTGTTCTTCCAACATCCGTAATTAATATTACATCACTAGAAGACTGTTTAAACCCGAAGTCAAAGCTTATATATAATAATTCACTCGAAGAAACTATCGTATATTAAAAATAATTAAAAACTTATTTTTAAATTATGAGTATTTACCTGTTCTTCTTCAGTCCATTTCTTTTCTATACCCAAAGGAATTGGATTTTTTACAAGAGCTTGAAGCGCTCTACCAGTGTCGTAATTATTCTCGTGTAACTGAACAATAAAAATTAATTATTATTTAATTACAATAAATAAAAACATACATATTTAACAAGTAGTGTATAAAAATATTTTCAATTCAACAATTTTTCTATAAAAATAATGTAACGTCAGCATTAATAAGTAATTATTTTTTAGCTGTTTCATTTAAAATGTATGATTTTTGATAATGACAATATATTTTTTATATACTTTTTTAGATATTTAACATGTTTAAAAATTTAAATATCCAATTTTCAAAATCTTATTTTAATTACGAATAAAATATTTAATTACATTACATTTTTTTCGATTTAATTAGCAACTGACTGTAATTTATTTTTGATTTTTGGTAAATGAAAATATAAAAACTAACTTAAAACAGTTGAGAAGGATCATTTACTAGAATTAAATATTTAAATTATCAAAAAATAATTAAAATTTTCTCTTGTTTTTCAGTCTTTTTATTAAATTTTCTCTCTCTCTCTCGCTCTTTGTCCTTGATATCATATAAAGTCATTACTTATTAACTGCTTATAAGACTATATAATTAACAAGAATGTCATTAAATTCTACATTTTGCATCTTATTTGCATTGTAATCTATAAAATCAACATACCGTAGGCCGACGCTTTATCTAATTTCTAATATGTAGCTCGTAATAATTACCAGATCTAATGCGTTAATGGTTGTGTCATCTCGAGATGCTGCAAGACATCCATCTTCGGCAGAACCTCCGTCACACATTCCTGCAAAGGCTGCCATACTTCTATATTAAAAAAGAAAAAAAAATAGAACAAAATTTAATTATAATTAAAGTTCCAATAATTAAATTTTCAATACTTACATACAAGAGTTATTATATAACATATACCACCATCAAAATATTGTTATCATACAAGAATATAATCTGCTATTTCTTCCAAGTCTTGAGAAATTTGATCCTTCAAAAATATAATATCAGCGCTTAGCAAGTTAGAATTGCAAAATGGGTTAACACGATGCTGGAATTTGAGAATATAAAAATAAAAAACTGAAACAACAGAAATTACTTTTGCACGGCATTCATTACATTTTCAATATACATGTATTTTAGTTTTGTTCTTTGTAGTTATACCCATGTTAGCTATATTTTGTCATATATATTGTAACTTGATGCTGTTTACTAAATCATTCTGTCAGTATCATTTCAAAGTTCATGCAAAAATTATTTCATTGTAGTAGCAACAAAATTTTATATAATTTTACACAATTCATTATTACAAATAATTGAAAATATCTCACGTATAACATATACCTGAAGATTGAAAATTACCGTTAAGTCGACTACAAAAAAATAATTTAATAATATGTACCGAGCTGCTCGTAGATACATCATTAAATCACAATCTGGTACTCCAGGTGTCCATCGCAACTCCTCCAAAACCTCACATTTCTCTGGCATTTCGTTTGGAGTCACGTGCAATCGGCACTCAGGGAGGCGTGCCTGGTGGCTAGGACCCACCCTAATTTCGCCCTGCGTGCTCGCCAGTCTGCGTGTTTCTGGATTGTACCCCAAGATGTAGAAAAAATTATCTTGCTTCGGAACAAAACTCTTTGCGGCAAATATATCGGAATAATGATGGACCTTGCACTTTCCCCTAAAAATTAAATTTGTTATTTTACGGCATTAAACTTTAAAATTATTTAAATAAATATATATTTAATAACTTACCTTAGGGTTGAAATTGGATAACAGTCCGTAGCATCTGAGATGAATAATAAACGTGAACCAAAACTTATCGGTTTGTAAGCTTACTTCTTCTATTATGTAATATATTGAGCCTTCATTGCTACAGTTACTACTTCAAGGCGAAACATTATACGTGCTTGCTTTAAGCCTATGACAGTGCAACAACTATATTCAAGCCATTCGAAAATAAATTCCACAGCCATTTTTTTTGAATGAATGATAGGTTGGTATAAACCANTTTACATAATTTATGAAGATTACTAAATTACATTAAACGTATCCGACAGAATTTATATTAGCTTACAATTTACATATTTCTTAACTTATTATATATAAGACAAATCTGGTTAAAAGATTATGTTTCAGCATTCTAATCTACTTAACTTGATTGGATTAATAATAATTCCATCAATTTTTTTTTTCTTTTTTACCGCCCTCTCCGTTTTTTACGCAATAATTTTTCGTATATTTTACTCTTAATTTTGATTTAAAAATACAAAAAATATTTTGCTTTATACTTAATCTATTGATTTCTTTACAATGAACTGAAGAACACTTACTATATACAAGAAGAAAAAAAAATATTCCGAGTTTTCCGGGTATCTACTTATCTTCAGATGTGATTCTTTCCTTTCTTCCACATATAAAATTTATAAAATTGAATATACTTTTATAAATTTTATATAGAAAATTTTTTTTTTTATAAAATATCTCATTTTAAATCAACAAAAAAATTTTTTTAGTTTAATAATTTGGTTTTCTCTTATATTAATGTGGATTTATATCAGTTAGAAAATGGAATAATAAATATAATCATTCGGAATGAATTACGAACTTGCCAGTAGTAACGATATAGCATTACCAACTGGCACAAGGTTTATGGTAACAAATACTTAACAAAACAAACTAAATTAATGAAATGAATGTGGATAATGTATAAATAATTGAAAATATAAAACAAACAGGAAATATTATAAAATTTCCGTTGCGTATAGAATTATTGGCGGTGTTTTTAAATATTAATCTACACCAGACAGTTCTGCTTCGCGTAAATTAAAATGGTCAGAAGTATTTGTAATCGTAAAGGTTCGATACTTTTTGTACTAATTAGTGAATGTTTTTTTTGTTATAATCATACATACTAAAGCCTGTAATGTTAATACCAGTTTTAATTATAATCAATACTCAAGTCATATATTATGTATTAAAATCATAAATTATGACTTTAATATATAATTTGAATTTTTTTAAAATGCAAGGAGTGGATATTAGCCATTTTATTAATTAGTTTTTTTTAAAAAAAAGATTACTTTGCATTTATTAACAGCATTAAAACTTGTAATATTAAGTGGAAAAGTCAATAAAACCACTGAACGCTGGTGCCGGTCATGGGTTTGCGCCATTGTCCAATATGGAGTTCTCCAGCTTTTCTTCACTTATCTAACACCTAAAACAGCAGCAGTTTCCCCACAGAAAGTTCTGGGAGGCACATCTCCTCTTGGCAGATTGGCCACGTGTTACTTTATCCCAATCTAATCCAATCCTATAATCTTAAAACTAGAATTAGTTACAATTTATATTCTAGTTGCACGTTATATACTAAAAGCATAGCTTGCAATTTTAGTATAATTCAGTATACTTATGGAATTTAAAAAATGCCGAGGAATGCAGCATATCTTTAGCCTTCTAAATTAAAGATTTTCTTTTTTCGGAAAAGAAGTACTTCACTTAATTGATTGGAATACTTTGTCAAGTTATAAAATGGTGTTTTCAAGTATTTGATAGACCTTAAAATTTTTACAGAGCAATGAATTAATGATGTTATGACGAAATCAATAAAAAAACTTTCGATTTTTATTTAATCTATTGGTTTCTTTATCTAAATAGATAAAACTTTTATAGGAAGCTTAATGTAATAACAGCATAAAAATTTAATAGGAATTAATTTAGATGCTTAAAACAGGATCTGAATCATGTTAATAAAATTAATCAAAACTCTTCACTAACTTTATTAATAATAGTTCATACCAGATTGTTAAGAATTTTAGTTAAGTGCCAACTTTAAAAAAAGAAGTTAATTAGATATAAACCCAGTTTAAATGAATATATGAAAGATTAAACATATTAATAGTGTATTTAAAACAAAGTTTAGTTAGTGAAAAATATAAAATATATAAGAAATTTATAATATTTTCATTTTAAGAGTGGCAAAAAAACAAACGAAGCTAAGAAGCACCGCAAATTTAAAATACGTCCCAGCTTAAGTTCAAGAAACGTAAAGAAAAAATGTGTCTTAACACGATATTTGCAACTTTTTTAAATGAGATATTGATCTAGAAAATTATTATAAATAATTTCAAAGCTTAAACTTTGCAATACTGAAAATTATATACATTAAAATACTAAAACTCTCTACTTGAAGAATGAAGAAGTCTTGTGTATTTTTTAATATAAAGACAAGATGGAGTCGAAGAGGAATGTCATGTTATTACACGTATAAAAGTTAATGCCGATTTTAGAATAACTTTGATAGTTATATATTCTATTCGAAAATACAGTTGACCCGCCTATAACACTGTTGATTATTCCACTTTATATGAATTCCATGTTGTAAGAGTCACTTAGATTTTACAAATACGTGAGCCGTTCACAGCCCGGCACACGTATTTGTAAAATCTAAGTGACTCATACAACATGGAATTCATATAAAACGAAATAATCAAGTGTTATAGGGGGGTTGACTGTATATATTATTCTATTACTTTTTATTATAATTTTTAATTATAATAAGTATTTCTACAAAGTAAATTAATTAAATAACTTCTGTTCTTTATAAAAACAATTAATAATTCTTTTTTGTTTTTTTTTAAATTTTTTTAAGAATCTGCATAATATAGAATGGCTCAAAAGTTGGTTAATCAAGTTACAGCAAAGTCAGTTAACTTGGTTAACCAACTTTTGGATAATCCTATACTTTTAAACACTGCATCAGTAATAAATTATTGTTAAAATATTGTTAAGTATAAAACATATAAACCTTGAAATAATTATTTTTAATTAATTCTGATTACTTGAATTAAATATTAAATGTTTTTTTTTCCTTATCTTTCTTGTAAAAAATGTTATTTTTTTTTTGTATGATTCATCTTCCTTTATCAATGATTACGAATATACTTAATAAGAAGATTAAACTATACTGTAATAATTAAAAATGCGAATGATATATATTTTTTCCCTTAAATATTTGCTGTATTTTATTTGTTCAAAAGAATATAAAAATTTGTTTTGGTACTAAGAGAATCAAGTAATATACAGTAACAATTTTAAATTGCAGAGGCTGTTGGTGAGCATAGAGCATGCAAGAGCTCTTTTGTAGTGTAAAAGAGGCCTTGAATGTGTCATATTCATCTACAGCCTCTACAATATATTATAATAGAATACAATACATTATGTTATAACTTATCAAAACTTAATTGATATTTTGCTCGTCTAGGTGAGGGACAGTTGAAGGGCTGAGGTGGTAAAGTCATTAGCCTGCTGTTCTGGCGACCTGGGATTAAATTTGTGTAATAAACCCTCGATATTTTGGCATTTACCACCTGACCATCCCTGTTGCGGCTTGGCCAAACCCACAAAAGATCAGTAAAAAAGGTCCTCTTAATGCCCACAGGACAGAAAGAGTTAAAAAAAAACTCTAGAATCTAACCTAGTAGGATTTGTACAAAAGCGCACGCGGATATCCGAAGCCTTAAAAAATGCAAGGCCCTACAAAAAACCTGCATTACCTATGTCTAAAACTGTTACTTATAACTTTACGAGCAATATATACTTCACTTAATTACGCAATAATGCTTGATATCGCGCTCAAATTAAAAAAAAAAAACACATTAAAGTTACTTAAAATTTCTAGAAATTTGAAACGATAAATGAGTAATTGCATTAAATATATGAAAGGAACAAACAGAGTTGATTGCAATATATTACAATCAACTAAAACTAAGTGGCTGAACTAATAATAATAATAATATTTAATTTAACATATCCTAATTAGGCATTGTGACATAAGATATAATTATCTAAACAGTAAGTTATTCAAGTTGGAAAATAAAGAACCTCATCAACATTTCGAACAAACTCTTAAATCATTTAAAATACAAATAAACCAACTAAACTAACTTGTATGATTGGACTTCAACCGGATATCTAAAACCATCTAGCAACTCAGATATCCGGACAAAGTTTAACGAGCAGATTCTAGCTAATAAATTATCTTAATTGTTTTCTGTTTTCTATTTTTTTTCAGCATGTTAATAAAGAATTCATTCTACCATAACCCTTCAAATAGGTGCAGATTTTATCTACAGATCCGAACCTTCCCCTCGTTAATATAAACTACTTGCAAATGCTAATTTATGGATAAATAGTTAATAAGATGGGCTGATAATAAAATGCCATTATTTATCAACCTTTTCAAGCTATGGAGTACCATAAAATTCCTATTTTTCTACACCAATAAATGAATAAAAGATTAAACAAAAGGTATAAATGAAGTGTGTTTTTTTAAATTGTAGCAGTAACACCAGGAAAATTCTATTTTTAAAACAATTATCTACAATACAATCTTTATTGTAAATACAGGAAACTGAGCGTTATCGAAATTTACATAATTTTATTTTATTTTTTTAAATCGACCAATCGTAGAATAACTCGTACCGCCTTAAATTTCTACGTCATCAATTCCCAATATATTTGAATTTAAATATTAAAAGAGGAAGAGGAATTATTAAATTCTAATTAAAAATTATTATTCTAGCTTTTAATTACGTCGAACGTCGAACGTAAACGTTTAATTACGTCGAACGTCGAGAGCGCCGCGCTCGACGTTCGACGTTCACGTTTTACAGATGAAAACTTCGGCCGCAACTTCTGTATTTCTGTATTCTTTTATGACCTAACAGTATGAAGTATCAATTGCATTATGTAAAGAGATCGGATTACAACCGTCGCTTTAATAGTCCAAAGAGAAACACGATCCTTTTAACATCTTTTATTTTTCTTTTCTTTTTTTCTCTCGGCCATGATTTCCGGTACTTAGAAAAATATAAATAAGAATATCACGGCTGTAAGTAGGTGAAAAATGGAATCAACCGGGGGGGGAAGGAGAAAAAGAATTTTTACACAATGTCATCTCATCGACGACATTTATGCCCGACTATTAAGGGTGGGAATGAGAGAGAGAGAGAGAGAGAGAGAGAATTTAAGTTGTAGGCCGCGATTTCTTTTGCGTGCCAAGTAATTCAAGCTAAGGAAATCGATTATAGTCTGGTTGCCAGGTGATTTCAACTCTCATTTCACGCTTTCTACGCAGTAATAACTAGTCTAGCTGACTTTCTTTCAGACATCTTTTTTTTTTTTACTTCTTCATTTCTCCATATTTTTTTTTTCCTTTTCCTTTTTTAATCCTCACTGTGTTTGCCAAGCGACTGCAGTAAGTACGATTTAATACTGTGTACGCTCCGCTGACTTTTATTTGTTCTCTGAAAGAAAGACCATTTTCATTAAATGGTCTTTCCTCCCCGGCAAAACATTCGTGAAGAATATGCCATGGACTTCTCATTCAATTATCGAATTACTGGATGGAATACGCTCTCGCTTTTATCAAAGCGTGGGTAGGATCAAACTCACTTACTTATCTTGTATAACGTTATACAAGATGCGTACAGTTTGCATGACCTAAATACTAAATTGCACAGTCTGATTAACGAAAATCTATAGGAGAAACACCTTGTTTTTTTTCGTGTAGGGAACTCTTTTAATTTGTTTAATGTATGTAACGGCAATAATATCCTCTCCCTCTTCAATTGTATTTCGGTTCCTTGTATTTGGTTTTGTTTAAACCATCGTTTTGCGTACAAGAAACAGCACGCTAAGAGCGTGTGTGTGTGTGGATCTTCGAACGAAAGAAGAGGAAAATCTTCTGTAAATTATATTTTTACAGGAAATAATAAAAATCTAGTATTGCAAAATTAAGATATAATTATATTAGTTATATAAAGAATTCGAGAAGAACTCAAGCGTATAAGAAAAAATATTATTATTTAATGAGATGCGGATGAGCGATTCTCAATAAGGAATCTAATAGGGAAGTTTGGCACGTCGACATTCTAAAAAACAATTCCTAAACTAAATGCTTAGATATTTTTACTTATTCGTAAATTTAGAGAAATTGTATCAAAATAAGATAGAAGTTAATTGATTCTGTGCAGCTTGCCAAAGTTTACATTAGCATCTTTTCTTCTTCTTCTTCCTCCTCCTCCTCTTCCTCTTCTCCTTTTCTTCCGTTGCAGTTTATTAAATAATCTTAAAATTCTGGTTTATGTAAGTTTATTTATAAATCAAAAATGTAATGTCATTGATAAATTATCAAAATCGCGATAACTTTTTTTCTTACAAGTGGAAGAAATTAACCACTCCACTGCTCTAAATATAACATTAGAACTGGAGTGGGTAATTTATATGCAAACCAGACATCGATTTAATTAATTTAATTACTAAAAATAATAATAATAATAATAATCTACCATACCAAAACGTTTTAAAATAGAAGAATCTCTTAAAGATTTAAGGAAGGAAGAGTACGTGTACCACTACTACATAATGGAACTCGACTTGTTATATAGTATATATAACGAGTGACATAAGTTTATAGGAATATAAACTATTTTTCCAGTCGGTTCCATTGCTAAAAAATGCAATAAGATCAAACGTATTAGTAGTTATTATCCGGGAGGAATTCTTCTTTTTTTTTTTTCTTTCCTTGGAGCTCATATCTGTTTGATGTGTTGACCAGACATGCCTTTACCATCTCGACAGGTGACAGCTAAACGCGCATAAATCCAACCCAGCCATCACACGACAATCTGAAGTCAGCAGCCTCGCCAGTTTGGCTGGAGGTAAAGCGCCAGTCAGCATTGATAAAGGATAAAGAAGAGAACGTCAAACACATCTAGAGAACTAACAAATTCGTATCTGGCTTGGCAGACAGCTCCTGGTCGTTTGTGCATTGGAGAGTGATGACTGGTTGTGGCGTTTTATGGTTAAGTGAAAGCTTTTACTCACCATTTTCTGTGTTGCGATCTTGAACGAGCAACTGATAAACCGTTTCTGGTACTTCGGAGAGTCTGTAATACCATCTGACGTTAACTACCAAGTGGTCCTTCTTGCTCTGCAAGGAAAGAAAAGAAATAAAAATAAAAAAATATATAGCGAATCCGTTATTCGCTTCTCTTATTTATTTATTTATATATATATATTCTAAAGTAATGAAACTATTTCCGCATGTTTTCGACGTCTAGAAAACGTTCGTTAAATAAGAGAAAAAAAAAGAAAAGCAAGTAACTGACGAATCGTACGTGAATTAAATATTTAAAAAATGGCATTAATTATTACATACATAAAAACATCCGTTTAATTATTGAAAATAAAATTTTCTTTTCGTGTAACCTTCAATTAATGAATTACAAAATACTGCTCACTTTTTCTTCGATTATTAAGTAAAAATAAGAAAATTCTGGCAAAGAATCTTCATTTTTGCAAGAAAATTCTGGCGAAAAATCTTAATGTTTATAAGAAAATTCCGGCAAAGAATCTTCATTTTTATAAGAAAATTCTGGCAAAAAATCTTCATTTTTACAAGAAAATTCTGGCAAGAAATTCTTATTTTCACGTAAAAATGCTGCCAATAAACTCCCACATTCATTAAAAAAAATACGAAAATCATGGTAAGAAAACACTCAACACGACAATTTTCATATCATAAAACGAAAACAACTCGCATTACTTCTGATAAAATACAACGATTTCATTTTGTTTTTTTTTTGTTTTTTACCTCTAGAATCATTCTAGCGTGTAAAATACAATTAAAAACAACATTTTTAACTCGATAAACTTCCTATTTTTTCCGACTATTTTAACGCTAATCTGATAAAATTCGAAGCGTAGATGATTAGAGTATTAATTTACATATCCCGTTTTGTAGAGGTGCAGCGGAGCTAGTTTTATCGAGGGAAGAGGAAAAAAAAAAGTACACAAGATGTATTAAGATATCATCGGGCATGTGGCGAAAAACATATAGTTCTCTCTTAATAGCTCCCCCTCCAAGTATCTTTATGACGTGTTCTTTTTTTTTTGTGTTGTTTGTGTGTTAAGTACGGTGACGCCATCGTTTTCGAGATAAACCGCATCGGAGATAAAACACAGTAGTATTAAATACAATACAAAAAAAGGCACCGACGATTGTGTTTAAACGCCGTATTTAACGACGTTGTAGACGATTTAAGCCGTAGATCAACTGGTAGAATGGAAAACTGCAACGACCTGGATACAAAAAGTGTACAGTACAAAGTGCCTAGAGCCAGACAAAAAAAAAAAAAAAGCTATTAGGGCATCAATCAAATAGGTTCATTTACCGGGCTTAAATCGGCCAAGTTGGCAATCAATAACTACTTTTGTTATTTGCTAAATGATGATGGTGTTAGCGGTTACAAATCTCCTTCCATACACACAATGGTAAGAAAAGAAGGAAAATAAACAAATAAATAGTATTGCAAAGGGGCCCTTCCGTATCCCGAAGAGGGGGGAGGCCCTTTTTTCTCCTCTGTAGCGCCATCTGTGAATGGAGTTTGAAACGAAACCGTGGACATCCCCCCTACACACACACACAACGAAAATTTCCGACTGGTTGGTGGAGATACATTCGCCTCGGGCCATTTATCAAGCAATGTCTGGCAGAGAAAAGAGAGAGAGAGAGAGAGAGTAGCCATTGTTTTGCGGATTACCTACAATCTATCAGGTTTCTGTCAGAAACGAAGCACCTGCTGACGTCTGACTATCTGTCACATATTTGACACTCTTCGTCGCCTCCACGCTAAATCCTCCAACGCATTATTTACTCGGAATGACATTTATAAAACGATTGTACAATTCTATAAATTCTGTACGTATCTATATAAAAAAAAGGCCGTAGGAAATGGGGTCGAAATAATTTCCCCATTTTACACGGGATAATTAAACGGGATGAGTAATAGGCATCGCATGTTCTACTCCTCTCAATCACTGGGCGAAAATGTTAACTAGGTTGCTACTTGCTGGCAAACTTTGGACGGTGGGGGGAGGGAGGGAGAGAGGGGAAGGGTGGTTGGTTACACAGCGTAAGTCTCGTGAAGAGGATATCACGCTAACTGGCGAATCAACCGGGTTGATTCCTACATAGAATTCCTTGGAGATCAATAAAGAGAGCGGTAGTCGACTAGGGAGAAGCATGCAGCTGCAGCCATACTTAATACACGAAGTGCAGCTAAATAATTTGAAAAGAGTTGGTCCATTACATGCCAGATAGGGCGTCGGAAAAAAAAGAACCTGTTCCGAGTTGAGTGAACCCTTCTTCAAACTTGTTTCTTGTCTCGTATTGTTTCCGTCGATGTGTGAAACGCCCTTTTCTCTACGTTGAATTTCTTGTTTTTCGGTCGGTTTTCTCACTCCTCCTATAGCTTTGGAAGACCCCTAATTTGTTTAATTTAATTTTTTTTTTTTACCTGTTTAAATAGGCAGCATCCATTCCGACTCCCACAGAAATGATCATTAGAGCATTTTCAGCCCCCCATTTCCTTTCCTCTTATCGCATGGTCAAATAGGACGCGATAGAAACAATTATCTTTCAGTCAATGACAATTACAGTAGTACCTCTACAGCCAAACTACAAATTACAATTTGGGTTTTTTTTTTTCTTTTTGTAACCGTGAATTTTCCTGGTATACTTAAGTTTTCGCGCAGCAAATTTATACGTACGTAAACAATGAGTAAAACCAACAGGTATACGAGGAGGAAACACTCGGCACCCAAGGATTACAAAGCTTAGAAAAACAATCTTTCCTCTTTATCCTCTAAAAGCGCGACATTTTCGGACACTATAAAACGTATTTTAACTCTTCTACGCGGGGGTAGAAGGTCGGAAAATACACCGAATTTATGCCAATGCGTTAATGGGATTTACAGCCTAAACACAAATCAGTCTAGAACGACGATTGAACTGGAGTAATGTGAGGATTAAGAGCTTCTTTTTTTTCTTCAGGAACACAGATAAGTACCTGATTACCTCCCTCCATAAATTACACCCGCGTTAGAGACGTTAAAAAAAGAGGAGGATGTTTTCTTTTTTTAGATGCGTTAGGCTTTATTGATCTCGTCCTGTAGTCAAGAACCGAGAGCCAAATGGGTTCTCTACTACACCGTGTCAACACGGCCACTCCCACCTTCTACCCACAATACGTGGCACGAGTATGTGATCGGCTCTTCCTCCTCATCCTCCGACGATTAAAAATATCCGGTATGAGCCCGAGGGCGTGTGTTGGAGACCTCACGAAGACTCGATGGGTGGTGAAGGAGTACAGAACAAGCACTCGCAACCTGTTATTACGTCATTTCTCCCGAACCCTCCGGAGTTTCGGTGATGTGCTATTAATCCGCTCTTTAAAAATTATCTGCGAACCTGTTCGTGCCACGCATCGACCTTAAACTTTCGAGCAATCTCTCTGCTTCTCCTCTTGCAAACCAGAAAAAGAAACTGCAAATTGCATACGAGGAACCCCCGACTTTCTACTGTTTTACATACCACAATCGAATGAATGGTATTTCTAAAACACACGGGATGCGTGTTGAAGAAAATCGGGGAGGATTCCCGACAGAGGAAAGGTTCTTCCTGTGTGGTAAGCAGGATTTCTAACAGAGAAAGATGCTTACTACTAAAAAAAAACAGGGGTCAGAGGCTCTCTCTCTCTCTCTCGTCGATACAAAACACGGAAAGTATGTGAAGTAGATAGGAAGAAACCAAGCGAGAAAAATGCTGGTGTAGATTAAGAGCGCGGAAAAAGTCGCTGCAAATCCACTTTGGGGTTTTTTCCTCCATAAAATATTCTTCATTAACTCTTAAATGAGTGGAAGTTGCTAGTTATTGACAAACTTAATCGTCGCCAGACGGCGTTGACATGTGGGTCGTCATGGGAACGCTCCTCGTCCAATAGCAGGGTAGAGAATCTCTCTCTCTCTCTCTCTCTCTTCGTCCCCCCTCCCTCGGCGACTCAACTACACCACCTAGTAGGCAACTACTCTTCCTCAAAAAAACCACCGAAAAAGCGAAGCGGAGAGAGGTAGCTTCGGTAAGACAACCGACAAATTGGTTAAGTTCTTCCTCTTGGGTACAAGATAAGTGTTGGCAAAGCTTATAATTAAAACAGATTCGACGCTCCTCGGAGCAAATACTAGATCTAGCGAAACTGATTTTTCATTTCCTCGTTACGCCGATTGTTTGGTCGAGGCTCGCGACTCGTTGAACAATTTATTCGCGCCCAATGCTCGTAAGTGCTCCCGGATAATCGAAGAAACTTTCGTCCACTTCCTCCTCCCCTTTAAAGTAAATTAATTTTAAGGAGTTAAGACGGATTTTTCACATCCTCTTCCTCCTCATCCTCCTCCCAGTCGCGCCGAGTTCAACGACCCTAGCAAATTACTTCGATACGAGCGTTCATCAGGAGCTAGATGAGAGACCACCGAGGGGGGTCCCAATCGAATACGAGGAATTCCGCAAATTTCTTCGCAGCTCCTCCTCTCCATTTTCGTATACGAAGAGGTACAAAGAAATGCTCCGGGAACCATTCCCCTCCGCTCTAAACGAGGAAGTTCAAATCGGAATCGGTATCTTAAAGACAAACATAGGAGGAGGGGGGAGAGAGAGAGAGACGAGCAGATCGACAATCGAATCGCATTATAGCGTGACAGACGTAGCGGAAGTGGTCATACCACATAATTACTTTTCATCACGTCAGCCGCAATTAACCGTGAAACCGGTGACGAACGGTTCCCGGTCGGAAACTCGTCATCGGTGACGAAACACATTGGCATCGTGACGCCAAGTCGAGGAGGTGCTCGGAAGAGTCGCTCGGGCCTTCGGCAACTTTCCCTTCTTTTATTTTATTTTATTTTATTTATTTTTTCTGTCTATTCCTTTCACTTTCGGTTAACGAGGACCTCACACGAAGTGTGGGCGAGCGGTTCCTTAAGCGAGAACAACAACAATCCGCGATACGCTCGAATGGGATCTCGGTTTAGGTCCCGGAGGAACAACAGTTCCCGATCGAAATACACCGCAGAAAACAATAGGCAGGTTGTGTTTTCCGGTGAATTACTTCTCTCTCTCTCCCTCCTCTTTTTTTTATTTTAAAGTTCTCTCGCCCTCCTTTAAGAGCCAACGCGCTCTCCCGGGAGCATCCGCGAGCCCCCGACAACACAGCAGAGTTATCGCCCTTTTTTTTAACCTGCGAAAGGTGCAAAATACGTCGGCCATGCCGAGTGGGCCGAGTGACGATTACGTCGGTCGCCCCGCCTCGTGTTGTCTGCTTTCGTCACACGGAAAGGAAGTATTACTACGAACAACTGGCTGGAATCGGCGGGAGGGAGGAAAAGACTGGCTACCCCCTTCCGAATTCGGAAGAGCCAAACCGATGTTTAGCTATCAAACAATTTGCCTGTGTGTGTGTGTGTGTGTATGTGTTTTTTTTACCCCCCTTCCTCCTGTTTAACACAGAGCGAGAGAAACAGAGCGGATCAGTCAGGCACCGCCTACCGATCGCTGCTATTGGACGAGGTAGTGGAGAAGTACACTGCAGTCGTCAACGTGTAAGCACGTGCTACGTTTTTATTGAATTGTAAAAAGGCCACGATTGATGGGCTCCGCGTTCGTTTAGAGGAGGAAAGCGTGTCGGGGGACACACGGCCACTTTTCTCCAACGCTTCTTGCTCGGAGGAGAGTTCGATAGAGGCGAACGAGCGCCCGCGGACAGAACACAATTTGTTTTTTCTCCCCCCCCGTCTCCGTCTAATTTCCTCCTTTCGTTAATTGCGAGCCACGAGGCAGATGGCGAGAAGTGCCGCTCTCTCTTTCTCTCTCTCGCATTTAACGCAGCTGTCGTTACTCGCGGGGGGCCGGCAGGAATTCCGCCTTCCCCCCTGCGACGGGTGACAGGCTGATCCAATTTCGCGCCCGTAAACCCGCCGGAATATTGAGTTGGCGCAAAAAAAAAAGAGATGGCGAGTCACGCGCTCCTAAAAATCTCACCCATCGTCGAAGTGTCGGGACCTTCTTCTCCACCCCCCCGGCGCTACGCGTCCCGGGACGTAGGCGCGTAGATAAGGGTGTTGCGCTTACGCCAGCGGTTCTCGTATTCCGTGAAGGAAACATTAACGTAGCGGGCCGATTGTCGGGCGCGTGCAATGAGTACAAAGACTTCGCACCTAACCCCCCCTGCTCGGTTTTCGGATGCCCGAGGTGTCCGCCCGCCCGTTGTTGGTACAGAATGGCGGTACTTACCGATTTCGGGCTCTTCAGAAGCGGATGTGCCGTTTGGGCGTCCTGTGCGCTGGGACAAACACGGGCGCTCACACAGACTCCGCTACAACGTCCGCCATCTTGAAACGACGGCACCTCCCGATGACGTCACGGCAAAGTGACGTAGCGGAAAGGGAGAAGGTTTGGTCCAATGGCCGGACGGGGTGGATAACCGAGTGAGAAAGCTCGGCCGAGCCGTTGTCGGATACTTATGGCACTTTTTCGATGGGAATGGGCTGGAGGAATTGTGGGAAGCGATAAAAGAGGTGGGGTGGCAGGCAGCCAATCTGCGGCCGGCAAATCAACAACCGGACAAACAGGTCGGTTTCGCCTCCCCTCTTAATAGTCCACGTCGCCTGCTCAAGGACACGCCGCCAGAAAAGACCTCAAGGACAAGAGAGAGAGCCATTCCACCCGCCGCCAGTCGATAGGAATAACTCGAACGAGCCAAGCAACACGGGAGAACGGGTCATCGAGTATTTCCGGCTCGTACCGGAAACGGAAGAACAAACCGCGCAAACACCCTAGTTTTTTATTTTTTTATTTTTTTCAAACGTACTCATTGCCGATTTCCACACATCGACCAATCGCTCGAACCGACATTTCCTTTTAAAGAATTTTCATGGCGTCACACAATCTTTTACTCCACATTACCTCTCGCGCCTTCGCGTGTTTTCTCTCCATTACATTAGATGGCGCCACTTTCGAGTGGTAGCCAAAGATCCGCCATCTAACATCCGGATGCCAAAGGCACCACCACCAAACGACGTATTGCCTGGTAATGCCATTTTTCCATCAAGCGAGGTCACGTCCGAGTGAGGAGCTCACGTCATCGATGGTTCCTTTACCACAGAATCGATCGGTTTCGGTGAGGTTTCCTTTAACGGATCGAAATCCCAAGCTGCAATTAAATGACCAAAAAAAAAAAAAAGAGGGAAACGTCGTATCATGAAAAACCGAAGGAACAAAGGAAGAATCGGATAAGTGGCAATCCTTCAGCCAAAGGTCCTTTCGCATCTTGTTAATCCGGGAGAGGCAACAAAAGGTTTCACGCACCGTGATCATCAACAATAAGGCAAACATCTGGTTCGTTCTGTTAGTGGCCGCGCTTTGTTCACAATTTGCTACGTAATTGTTTATTACCCCCCTTTTGCCTGCCGTCGGGTTCTTGTTTTTTTGGGCATCACTAGGGATTCTTCATAGAATATCACACTTTTATAGATTTCTCTCTATATATATATATATATATACTGGATGCTCGTCACTCTTGACACTAGCGAACTCGGACGTGTGTGTGTGTGTATACACGTGTAGGTGTATATGGTAAACATACACCCAGGAAAAATCCACTAGTATGAAAAGACCTTTCAGTATACCGACAGTGGACAACATTATATGCTAAATAAACTGATACTGAAGATAACAAAATGTTTGTAGAGGAATGTTTGAAAGTCAATATTAAATTTTTCTATCTTTCTAACGGATCGACAATCGAATTTACATTATTTTTATCAATGGAAATTTTATACACAACATAATAAAATCCTAAACGACAAGCAATAAGACGAGCCGGATCGCCGGGGTTGGGAGGGGGCCCTGTCGATTTATTAAACTTTTCAGGCCCTATAATACGAGGCCCGCTTGGTTATAACACGAAGAATAACTTAAAACAGTATAGTAATTAATGCCATTATGATAATTTCCGTGTTAAATAAGTAAACTGGTATACCACCCCAGGGCATATACGAATACATCGGTTAACAAAAATCCATTGTGTTTTTATTGTTAATAGTCGCCGAGTGAACTGTAATCGAATATAATATAGGCGTAGAAGGAAATACAGTGAGTTATATCAAGTATAAAACAAAAGAATAGGAACTACTATCGATTTACCGTGTGATTTATTACCACTCATAAACAATAATCGAAAAATATCTTGAAGTTAAAGTCAAAAATTGCTATCTAATGTTTTCAAATACGTAATTTCGATCGGATTTCAAGTCACTTTGTCCAGTTCGATAACACTATAAAGAATCTTTTAATCTCACCCAACACATAGAAGTGTGAATTTTCTCGTATAGAGAGAGGTTACTGTATCAATTATTCTTCACGTTTCCGGGCATCGAATCTATCAGATTTTTCTAAATTCCTATTGCATCGCCCCTTTCTTAATGTACCACCGATTCTTATCTTACACCCTCACTTTCCTCCTTCCCACCCTTTTTTTTTTAAATTGAATGTAGTAGAAGGTTTGTATTGTGATTTGTGTGAAGAAAATTTTCTTTTTTACCTTTTTTTAAGTACTTGGAATTATGGCAGAAGGCTAATTCGTGACTGGTAGAAAAGTTATCGATCGATCCTTTTCCCACTTAGGTGTTGTTATATTTTAACTCGACAATGTAAGAGAAGCTGTGGCACGCCGCACTCCATCGACCGCGCAATTACCCAATATGAAAAATGGATACATGGGTAACATTACACTTTTTCGTTATTGGCCGATTGACAATTGCAGTTTGCCATCACTCTGGGCATTTATCTTTCTCGATTTACTTTTCTCCTCACTCTCTTACTAGTTAAATTGCCTTTAAATATATAAAAAAAAACAAGGTTAATACGCTGTAACCCCCTTTACTTTTGTATTCCTGACGTTACCCGTTTGGCACACGCAAACTACTTTACGCCATCTTAAAATATAATTACTTAATCAATTGGTGTGTGTGTGTGTAAATATATTTTTACCAATTCCCATGGAGGATAAATTAAAGGGAAGAGAAGTAAGAACCGTGCCGTATCAAACGTGTCATTAGTAACAAGGGTCGAACAGGGGAGGCCCGTGAATGGACATGCAACCTTGTTCTACCCTCTAATGGGGTGTCTGCGCAGGTTCAAGATGGCAGAGAGATGTTTGCTGCGAGGAGGAAGCTAGTTGGCCCGTTCACCCATCCACGAGAGGATAGAGTTGAAGAGAAGAATCTCTATCTCGATACGCTAGCACGTATGCTATTTCAATGGACGGGGGGGGGAGGAGGAGGAGGAGGAGGAGGATTAAGTAAATAAGATAAATATCTAAACAGTGCGTGACCTATTGCACCCATTCATCTTACCGGAAATAAGTAATTACTGATTTAATTCAATAGATTTATATTCGGTAAGCAGGAAAACTAACATTCCTTCCTTCTCCCTGGAGCACCAATCGTTCTCTCGTCCTTCATTTATTAAACACATATATAGGCCTATATATATAAGATGCTACTTTATTTACGCTCGTTCTTTTAAAATTCTGTTGTTTAGATACATAAAAACGTTCAAATGATTCAATTCCATTATCCTTTAAAGAAGATTTTCTACAATGGACAATGCGTGGTTACTCGCTAGTAAAGGGCGTTTAAAAAGACATTAAAAATAAATATTTAATTTCGAATTAATTTATATAAGGATGGTCGTTCGTTTCGGGGATAAAAACACAGAAAATTTAACGAATTTTTCCTTATTTTTTTTTTAATTAAATCCCCTCTTTTAAACCCTCTCTCGTTTAACCTCTTCAACTTAACAAGTAAGAATGGTTAGTGAAAAGATTGCTACTCTTCAAGAACTGATTAAATTACGAGTAACGAATCCATTTAAAGCTTTATTAAGTGAATTTTTCGATCTTCTAGATATAAAAAAGAAGAAGAAAAATCCATAATTACCTTCCTGAAATCCTGAATGGTGCATATATTGTAAGGTTGATCGGGTCTTTGCATGTCGATGTAAACTGAATCTGTAAATTAAAAAAGATAAATAAATAATTTAAATTACGTTTAAAAGTTAAAATAAGGAATAAAACATTAAAAAAAAGGTAGAAAAGTCAGAAAATTTAACCCGAGTTTGGCATTCCATTTCCTTTTCTGACTTGTCTTTTTTTTACTGGAAGATAAAAGGGAGGATACAAGCAAAAGTCAAACGATTCTTCACTCTGGAGGATACAAACCGATTACAGAAGTAGAATCGACAGGAAATAATACTTAAAGTACTGTTTTCGATTACTTAATTAATATTTAAAAGAGGAGTATTTCGATGGTAAGGGAAGATTGAATTCGATTAATTAATTATACAAGAAAAAGATCCTCTTTAGAACGAAGATAAAATGCGGTTTGTATTCGATCTAAATGATTCTAATTCGCATCTAATATAGAAAAAGATGCGGAAGATCATTGATGCAATCGGTAACGTAAGAATTGCAAGAGGTGAGTTTAAGGAAACGGAAATAAAAAAAGAGGAAGAAGGAAACAGAACAGATGCAGCAGAACAAGCGAGTTAAAGGAAGGTCCCGACTGGAAAGAGTGGCATTGGAGGAGCGATGCGTCCGCTAACACGAAGGAAAATCAACCGGGGTCTTTACAGTGCTCGGCAGCAAAGCTCTCAATCCACTTCACTCCGGCAGTCATCGATCGGCTGCACAGGCAATAAATCTCAGTCGGTCGAGTAAATATTTAGCCATTAAATTGCAATTCATTCGCCATGCGCTCCGCGCAGATACATCTTTGTTAAATAAAGCTGACGAATTATATAATCTGCCACCAATTACTTCTCCTCTTTGCTCTCACTCACTCTCTCTCTCTCTCTCTCTCTCATCTAAATTCCCATTTTCGAAACTCGTCCAGCATAAGAAATCTGTCCACTCTTCTTCGAACTCCATACAAGTTATGATAAATCTAGCGCTGTTTCTCTTAGTAAAGCGTAATTTTCTTTCCTCCGCACTTTAAATTTGCATAAAAGGCCATCGAAAATTAAGAATCTTAACGTTCTTTCCAACGATTACTTCCCTTTATTTTTTTTAAATCCTCCTCACTTCTTAGACACGTTGCAATGAGGATACACTCACCGCAAATTCGATCCTCGTATCGTTTGTTACGCGTAATTCTCTTTTATCTACACATAAATTTATATAAAAACGTGTTGCAAGGGGCACATAAAATGCCCTGAATGGTATAAAATGTAAGCATCCTTTATTATTAACGCGAAGGAGTGTCGTTCTTCTAAAGCCGTGAAGGTGGAATTCTCATATTAGAATGGTAAATTAAAAGAAGAATGATGTGTAAACACATCTTCTTCTTCATATTCCGCTGAAATGCCGATAAAAGCATCTTTCTTTCTTTAAGCTATCAAGTTTACAATGTATTAACTATTTCAATATAAACTTGTACAACAAAACAATTAAAACCTGTATTATTTAATCATTAAATTCCATTTATTACTATATTCTTTATAGTTTTCTTTCTAAATCGCCTTCTATTATAATTAATCGTATTAATTTCCTCCCAGCAACAGTGTATACCAGTAGACCTCCCCTATAACACCGTAGATAATTCCGTATTATATGAATTCCGTGTTGTACGAGTCACTTAGATTTTACAAATACGTGAGCCGTTCACAGCCCGGCACACGTATTTGTAAAATCTAAGTGACTCGTACAACACGGAATTCATATAACACGGAATTATCTACAGTGTTATAGGGGGATCTACTGTAATTCGTACACATGTATAGTATGTTATCCTGTAATGTATCGTATTATACAGTATATATTCTACTGATTTATCCATATACATACCAGTAAGCTCGAACATAAACTACAGTACAATTAAAGAGTAGAACCATATGCCAATTCCTAATTTTTATTACAGTTTAATATTATATGTTTATTATACTCATTCGCTTATTTAATTATAAATATAGGCCTATATATATATAATAAAACCTTAAGAAATGACATTTTTCTCGTCTGGTATGCGATACGATGGATCGGATCACGAAAATTTAGAAACTACTGCAGTAAACTAACAGCCTTATCGTGCCTCGCAGCTCTTCCATTCGCCGACTGTCATCAATCTGCTGGGGTACGAATGTGGCAAATTGTGTCTGGCATGCAGATGCTGTCCTACTTTCCTCTCATTAGCATATAGAGTGCGGGTAATCGGGACAGGTTAAATGCTGTCGATAATGACCCTCTGGCGCTTTTTCTCTCTCTCTCTCTCTCTCCCGGATTAACCCAGCAACGAAAGCTTTTTTTTTATTATTATTTCTACTGTCCCGACGGGAACCACTTGAGTGTAAATGCTACTACAAGAGTAAAAAAATAAAACCCGTAAGCGTTTAGTAAAGAAGCTGAGTTCATTCCCACTAAGTCAGATTGGAGAAGATGCGCGCCGCCATGTGATATGTCAATACAGCAAATAGCACATTGCTTCTTTGTGCACGGAAATGCGAGCTTCAGTCACGTCTCATTCTTTTGCTTTTCCCCACAGCCAATACACCGACGTGATTCTTTTCTATATGGGGGATATTTCTTTTAATTCTTTCAGAAAAAGGGAAGTTTTCGGCTGCCAGCAGCAACGATTGTCTGAAAGCAGCGTCAGAACGTTAATTGCTAGGTATGTCAATATGAATGGCTGCCAGTAGGAGGAGGAGGAAGGAGGGGTGGAAAAGTCGCGATTACCCGTGGGACTTTTCCGTTTAGTGTTACTATTGTTCCTCTTTTCCGCTGTCGGAAATAGAAGATAACCTTCGACCGGTAGAAACAGTCCAAGTTAATAATCGGGATGTTTACGGAGAACAGATGGATAAGACCACTGGACAGAGTGCTATCGATCGTACAAGGACGTAGCGCGATTATCTTCCTGCCACCAGGTGAAGAGGATGGGGGGGAACGACACCGCGCCATCCCCAATCCGGCTTCCGACTTCTGCCACCAGGGAGCAGCAGCATCGTTCGCCATTTAATAATTCACCTAAAAAGCAATCCCTGGCTTGCCCCGGGCACAGTCATCACGTTTCTACGTACCAAAATTGCCGGGTTCACTCGGTTTCTTTTTTTATCCATCCTCTTTTATAAGTAGTGTTAAGAGCACCCGCCGGCTTCTTAATCCTGGATATTATTGAGTTAGTATATCACTTCGGTTGGCCACTATTTACTGGCGGAAATTAGAAGCAAAAGACTTGTAAGAATTCTATTTTCTGCCAATCGAAAACGACTGTAAAGGAAAGTGTGTGGTTCCTATAAATCCGTGCGGTTAAATTTAAAGTGCACCTGTCGTATACGAATTTAACTGCAAATAAAAGAGTTATGATCTAAAGAAGAGTGACAAAGAATGATTACAATATAGGCATTATGCCATTCTGTTTCGTCGTCGTCCTAGGCCTATAAAAGCAACCGACCGTGCAGAAAATTACAGGAAAAAAATGTCGAAAAATAAGTGTTGTAATATATTAAATAGGCGTTGAATAATTAGAAATTGCAATGTGTAAGAACCTTTACGTTGTGTTCCTTTCACTGGAACCAACGATCAAATCCAATTGATGTAACTTACAAATTAATGAAGTAATTTCCGTTCTACACTGAAATTACTTGAAAATATATATATTTTAAAAATCGATAAACCTCTTCAATCAAAGATATATAAACGTATAAGACGTGTAAAAATGTTTTTTAAGACCTATTGTACACGGGCATCCTTCAAACAACATCGATCATAAAAACAAAGATTATAAAGAAAGATCGATGCTTTCTTCTTTAAAAAAAAAAGAAAAAAGAAAGAAAGAAAATCACACGTCAATTCGTTTAAAAAACATCAAATTTAACATTTATTTTCATAAATAAATTTTACATTTTGTAAACAAATCCACAGATCAGATTTTAATTTATGTCCCCATACCACTGTACTTTACACGGGAGAATGATTTAGATACGTAAAGAAATGCGCATATTTCCGATGATTTTATCGAAAATATGTGCATTTTTTTTTCATTGAATAAACAGAAAATAAAGTCGAATAATAATAATAATAATAACGGGAATTATCATTTGTAAAGTATTGTATCCATTACACCCAATTGAAATGAACTTTTAATGATTTGTTCTTTCAGGAGGATCGTTTCTTCTTGTGTTTTCTAAACCCTAACACGTGTTCTAAACGATGACAACGTCACAAATTACTTAACAGAGAAAATTTTCGGTCGGGTATCCACTCAATTGGGGTATAATTTACTCCACAAATCTCGTAAAGATCTTCTGAATTATCGAAAATTATGAAAAGGAAAATAGATGATGATTGAAATGAACTGATCGATCACAGGCCAGACTTATTCACTAATCGATAAATAAATTTGAATTCAATTTTTCTTAATCTCTTTTTTTCACACGATTGATTATCATTTTCTTCTTCTTCTTTTTTTTTGAAAGGAAAAATTTCTCCTTGAATAAACACGTCGAGAAACAGTTTATAAACTTATAAAAGAGCACTTTTTTAAATTATTTATAACTTAAAATTCAGATTTTTACACTTATAGGATGCCTTTGTTTAGTTAAAAACACAGAGACTAACTGATAGAACAAGCTTATAATTACAAGGGATGGTTCAGGATACACATACTGTATTACAGTGTGAGACAGTTTGGTGTGTTCTAAACTGTGTCATCATCTGTCTCACACATGTACACAGTTCGGAACGTGTTTAAGATTATCCTATACACAGATTGTATGAGATAAATTGACATTAACGTTCTAAACAGTGAATTTATCAGAGGTAATCTGTCAGCATCGATTTCACATTGAAAATGGCGCTAAGCGGGAGTTGGGAAATTTATCAAGTGATCTGTTAAATGGGATTTATTCAACGAGATTTTAAACAATCTTTGAGGAATGTAGAAAGGTTTTTTTTTTTTTTTTTGTTAACTGCTTTAGTCCTAGATGGCAGTCGACAAAGCTGAATATTTCATATTCCCGAACTCCTAGAGAGCACCATTGGGGGCATCATTCGATTACTGAAAAGAAGCTGAAAGAAATGCCACCGTGGAGGTAAACTCGGCCAAACTTAACAAAAACCCGATACGTCAGATGCGAGTGACACGTGTACACAAGCAAACTGCAGCCACCCCGTGCCACTTACACAAATCTTCCTTGTTAGCCTGGCGGAGGTGGAGCTTCGGGGACAGATGGCGAGACGACAGTTATTAATTGCTGCACTCTGACTTCCATCCTCTATTCTGGTGCAGGGAGATAGGGAGAACTGTGACGCCCGATCGCACCGGAGGGATGGACTTATCTACGTTACTACACTATTTTTGTTTGCAGCGTTGTTTCTTCTCTAAATGTACTACTGAGGGAAGGGATATTCCCTAAGTGTTTAATGTATCGATTTGTTTCTTCGCACGGATTTAACGCTGGTAGAAATGGTTTTAATTTACAAAACACAATCCACCAGGAAAAAGGAAAACTTTAGCTATTTTCGACCACGATAATTCTGAATGCCTCGGGGTGATATTTACGTTAGATCACTCGTAAATTATCCGGAAAAACGATGCAATATCTGAAACGTTATCCGAAGCGGGGGGGAGAAAATACTTCTTATGTAGTGACGTTACAATAAATCCACTGTATAAAAACGTAGCAACGTTGCCATTTATCAGCATTAGACACCATTTTATATGTTGCATTGTAATTATCGTTAAACAGGAATTATTTGCAGGCAGATTCCAGTTGTTGTAGGCCATTACTTGGAAAGTAAAATATGTAGCAGCTCGTTGTAAATAGCCTATGCTAGTTATGCCAAAAGTAATTCAATGAACATCCGGTTAGACTAAGAAAAAACAATTAAGTGAGGGTCTGAATAAATCACCCTGACTTCTAACTTCTTGTTAGTGGGGTCATTTGTAAGTAAACTCAGCAGTTCATTTTCATTCGTTCACGTACAACTGGCTCTCACTGTAGACAATCGCATTACTTTTACTTATTAGGACCTTTTATAAACCTAATTAATCCTCTTTTTAATCTTAAAAAAGAAAAAAACCTTACGTTATCGCGGCTCGAAAGTTAAAAGTAGGAATAAATCCACTTTACTAGGGGTTCGAATCAGATAATTGAAAGGAGGAGTGCAAAATCCGTGAAGGAATTAGGAAAGCATCCCTCTTTGCTCGTAAAGTAAAGCCCAAGTGCAAAAGTGGATGAAGAAGTACATTCCACTGGTGGAACTATCCATTTTCAACGTAGAGAAATCTGTTGAGATTTGGCAGGGAGTAGAGAAAGAGAGAGAGAAGCGGGCAGAGAGCCAAAATGGCCGGATAATGGTAGCGTTATACTTTGGTCATTTGTCAGGTAAATTTGTGACAACTTCGATAAGTTGTGTGCTGCTGTCAAAGTGTAGCTTCATCTGACACTCGTTGTCGTATCAGTGACAAGCCCGATTGAAGACGTACTGGCCCTTGATGTCTTCCTCCTCTCTTTTCGTCTTCAGGATTCCTCCTTTCTTGATCCCAGCATCAACTCGTACATTATCGAGTTAAACAGTTTTAGAATTTCAAAAGTCGTATGCCTCAATCGACTTTGGAAATGGCCAATCTCGCGTAGTCTTATTTGTCACGTATTACTTCACCGCCTCACGTAGTACAACCGATGAGGTGTGGATCGTTGGGCGTGACGTCATCTTACCACCCATAGGCGTTTCTGGAAGTCCGGAATGACGTGTTAATTAGAGGGTGTCGTGTCAATTAGCCTTTTGGGTGGGAAGAAATTCAGGACGGCTATTCAGATACATTCCAACAGAAATCAAAACCTTTTCGGAAACTCCTACGTGATTTTAAGTCCCATTGTTTAGAAAAGCCTACCGACTTTTTGGGTCAGGCTTTACGTATTTTTAAATGCATGACCCACAAAGTGATATATAATAAAACTTTTCATCTTGTTTTCTCCTTTATACACGTATAAATAATAACTGGAACATTCGATTAAAGGTTAGGAATGACAAGTTAAATCAATCCGTGTACTTCTCAATTTTCTTCGTTCAATAAAAGAATTGAAGGAATTAAAAATTCAAATTGTTTATTTGTAAAAATTATTACCCCTGTCAATAATTATAATTGATAAATTCAACATTTTAACGCATGAATTGCTCGTTACACACCGTTGAGCTCGAGTACATACTTCTTTCCCGTGTGCAAAATAAATGTTGTGTCCCAGTTTAACGGACCAATTTCTTAAAATTCTTCTCGAACGTAAATGAACACGCAATTCTTGACGAGCAGGAAATGGTATTAAATGCTAAAGAAACTATAATTGACGACGAGATTCCGAATTTAAAGAAAAAAATGTGGGGGATTTACTTAATGGCATACCTGAGCAAATTTCTGTATAAAAATGATTCAGGAATGTCGCCAGGCAAAATACTTTAATTCCAGGAAAGAAGAGGGAGAGAAACTTTAATTGTTTCACTTTATTTAGTTTAATTAATCGATCGTTTATCCTACGATTCGATAACAATGGTTTATTTTGGGGAGGGGGAATGTTGCTTATAATATTTAAACTAAGCTTAATTTTATATACAGGGAAATTGATTAACATTGTACCCAAATGGTAATTCGTGCGTGACACGACTCCTAGCAACACGTCAAATAGGTGTAGAAAAATTGTTTATGACTTGTGAAAGGGATATTGGTACGATTAAGAGTTTTATCCTACGGGAAGAGTAGTTTGAGACTAAGTCGGTAGTGTCCTCTATCCGAAATTTTCAATTAACCAGCATCATGTGCGCTTTGGACTGGAAGGACAACCGATACGCCAACGTGAACTGTCAGGTGGCTTCATTTCCTGCGGGAGAAGCCAAGCTTGCTTTGGCCGTCCGACATGTATCAAAGGAGAAGAGATGATGGATGGAGCGTGTAGCAGCGAAAAAGTCTTTCCCGTTTCGCTCCGACTATCTTTCCTACTCTACTTTACCTAACACCATCCATTTATCATCTTGAAGGTTTTCCCGCGTTGTTCTCTGGTCCGGCCGACGTCATGTTGCAGACGGCCAACAGTCCCCAGGCGATTAGCCATCCTCCACTCCTCCAACAGAAGTGTTGTAGTGCCTTGTTTCCATTCGGGATCAACCGTAATCATCCAGTTACGCAAAACGTTACGGTGGATGCTGATGACTTCTATCACGCGACAACAAATCTTAGCCGTACGGTGAGGCAAATGTCACCAATTTTGGTTAAACCAAAACTAATATATTTCCATTACATAAATGGACCATGGAGATTCGACTTCGATTGCCATTTCTGCGAAAATATTTCATGCCTCTTGCGTTAAGTTCTCTTCATGCGAGAATTAAATTGTAGAATCTTTTAAATAAAAGACATACATGTGTTATTTTATAGCGGAAAGAAAATCGCCGGAGCCATTTATCAAATAAAAATTTCACGACAAGGATCCGGTAAAGTGTATTTCTTTTTTTTTTTTTTTCGGGAGGGATCGAAGAGTTATTGTAAATAGAAACAAACAAGAAAGGAATAATCGACTACTTCCTATATCGAATGACGACTGATGATGAGATTGATGGCGAAGGAAGAACAGAACCTATTTTTGTAGTGGAGCAAACAAGCCATCTATCAGCCACTCATTGTGCCAAAGCAAGTTAAAACTAGCACAAACAAAAGATCCGCATCATTTTTCAAAGAGTCGACAGCCCAACTACCATTCGTTTTCGACCGCTACAACTCCTTTCGGGCCACTAGTTATTAACCGACGTCCTCCACCCCGATTAAAAAGAAAGGCAGCGAGCGAACCGACCATAAAGATGAGAATCAAATGTTTTGAGCCACTTACCTCCCGTTCTGTATTCCTGGTTGTCTTGATAACTATAATAGCTGATGTAATCCTCGTTTGCGTTGGACTTGACCACTTTACCACGCACTACTCCTCCCCTTCTACTGGGTGAACTCCATTCAATCTCTTCCACGCTGTATCCGTCCGAAAGTCGGACGGACTTATCACCATTTCTCCTTCCCTTCATGGCACCTTCGGATTCTTTGTCTCTGGGCGATTCCGCTGGAGGGTTGGTGTCTTCGCTCATCGTCCTCATCAGTCGATGTCAAGACCGACTCATAATTGTAGACTCCACCGCCTCGCGCACTTCCACTTCCTCACGATGCATCCATTCAGTTGCACCTGCAAAAAACAAAAAGAATTACCACATTAGTCCGTGTAGAAGTTAGATATTTTGGGCTTAACACAGATAATAAATTTATATAAAGAAGTAACCGCGAATAATAATTTTTCTTGACTCCCGAATGGACTGTTTGAATAGGCTAATTACGAAGAAGAGAAGGGTGTATTCTTTACTCGTACCAATGACTCCGATGGGAGACAAGGCACATACCCCGAAGCCTTCATCGATTGCTAACAGCTAGTAGTCATATATGACCATACTAAAGTTGGGAAAAGTAAATATGTCGTTGGACAAGATCGATGACGAATTAATCCGAAAACGACGGGTCTAGAGTGAGAGATAAGGAGGTGCCACGAATGATACAATCTAACGTAAACGTGGCAATCCGGTAGGAATTATTGGCCTGTAAGTCCGTCGAGTAATTAGCACAAATGGCAAGAATGTTTTAACAAATCGTTAAGTGTACATTGCCCGGATTTATAATGATTGTGGTGGTCAAGATCCGAGGGGTTCCACGTTGCATAACACGATGCCAGGACGTTTAACTGTCACTTTTACGTTAACTTAACATCTTACAAGGAATTGCTATAATCGCTTCAACTCGACAACTATTAACTGAAGTTAGTCTACTCCATTAAATTATTTACTAAACTGTCTGCGGCTTCAATTTATAGATTAAACTTGTCGCCACAGGAATCTTGATCACTAAAAGCACTCGAAAAATCTTCTTCTTGTAGATAAATTGAAGGTTTCAATCTACTTAACTTCTATTTTATTTCGTATTAAAAATATAGAATACTTGTGTGATATTACAGAGTTATAAACAGGAATTTTATAAGAAGTACAGAGATTACTTGCTTCTTTATGAATGAATCACAAGAGCCTCAGGCACAGAGCAATCATCCTATTCATTAAGTGAACCTGGATTTATAATTACGTTACGTGAATATTTAAATAAATAATAATAAAAAAACACCACCAAGATCTTAATCTTGTGTATACATAAATCAAAAGTTGGATGAATAGGGTATTTAATTAAAAAAAAAATTCATCATCATCTTCATTCTCTTGTTGAAGAAATGTAAAAAAAAAAAGTATTAAGAGATTCCTACAAACACAATAATTCACAAAATTGTTGTGGAGTTTTTAACCACTGTCCTTCTTCAATGAGATACTTATTCCCACCACACTATATAGTCATTGACATGGAGGGATAGAAGGCCGGCTGGTGAGGAACACAAAGAGCACGGTTCGCATGATCGCCCACTTTTCCCATTGTTACCAACAAATTTCCGACGTGACTCCCCTGCTTTCAGTTTTACACACCTGATCCATTCTAACCGCAGTATGAGTCAAAGATTGAAGCTTTTATAGAAACAAAGATTCAACTTACAATATTGATTGATGCATTCTTGCATGAGAAATATCTTTCTCTTTCTTGATGTTCTCATCATTGTGGCAATTAGAGAGATAAATAGCCAATATAAGAAAATCCCATTCATATTCTCTTTGCCCGAAGCAATTTAATTAACCGGGAGGTTGTTTGTAGAATATATGCTCCGGGGTTAAATCACTATCAGAACTAACTGTTCAATATATCAGACTCCACGCCGCATACATTAATTGAGTCACCAGTTTTATAAACCCAGTCTGCGCATAAATCTTGATCCTGGCAATGTAGAAATTAGAATTTTCTTCATTCCAGAACTAGAAAGTCTTTTTAAGCTTCAATGTTTTATCTTAAACATGAAAATATATATATATATATATATAAACCTAAGAATTAGGGCTGGACTCATGACTTGTGGCCTTAAGCTATAACATATAACAGGCCCTTCCCTCCACCAAATAATGATACATGTAAAAAATGTAAGGCTCTAAGCTATAGATTCAACATGCAGTTTAAATTATGTACAAATCTGATCCTGATAAGAAAAATATAATCAATTAATTGCATTAATTATGTACATTTTCTTAGCTTCAATGCTTAGTCAATGCAATTAAATGTTTAAAAAATAAAAAAAGTCTTCAGAATAATTAAATTAAAGACTAATTATAATTTACTTTATTAGATAATAAACTTTATAATGTTTAATATACTTTTATTTAAAAAAAATAAAATACTTTCTTATACTTTTTAAGGATTTGCAAGAGTTTCTAAACAGAATTTAGAAGTTGAATAAAATGTAAAATTTGGCTTTAGACTAACGTTATTTGTCTTGTCAGAGTATCTTGTCTGATTTACAGAAGTTGTGATAAAGAATATTTTGAAAAGAGCTTCAAAGCTTTTATTTTCTTATATTTTCCATTACAATTCCATGCAATTCTGAATTGACAGGATACTATTTTCTCTACTTTCAACCTTTAAATGAATAAAATATATAAAATTTTACTATAAAAACTTAAAATTTTAACATATTTTCATATTAAAAACATTATATATAACTTTAAACATTATATTATGTTAATTTTCAACTAAAATTCATACTATAAGATCTTTTATATCACTACACATAAACTATGAGATAGAATGTGCGGAAAAAAAAAGAGAAGAAATCTCATAAACTGCAGCCGAGTGGGATTATTTAAAGAAAAAAAATATATATATACATTAAGAATCTTATATCAAGATTTAAAGCTCAGTTTAAGCAAATAGTTGCAGCCAATGCATCTTTAAATAATAGTAATAATATAATATTTTAAATATAAAATACATTATTAACTACTTTTCATTGAGATAAAAGATATACAATATAATCTGAAGCCAAATGACATTATTTCAACTGTCATTATATTAAAAAAATTCAAATTAAAGCCTTAAATTTAAGAAAAGGTTCGGTCGGCGCATCTTCAATTCATTAAAAACAATGTGTGTACATATATTTTAAATGTAAAATATACTTTAATTATTTGTATACAGAATGGAGATTATTATTATATAAAATGTAAATTCATCTTGAATTATTAAGCAAACTTATAGACTTTTCCATAACATCTTGAAGTAGAGGAAATGATGAAGATGGGAAGTTACAATTAAGTGAAATTAATGAAAAGATATTCATAAATCTCTTACGGCTTTCAACGCAGAATTAAGTAAAATTTCAAGTAGCATTTCATTAGTCTAGGAATCTACTACTCGTTTCTACATTTTTATGATCATTTTATTTTTAATTGTGCTACTCGGAAGAGCATTAATTAAAAATCTGGTAGTAATGAATACGAAGTTTGCATTGAACGTATAAATCATGGAAATTAAATTAAATTATATTATTTTTCAATTATCTGAATGATTTTTAAACTTATTTATAAGATATAAATTATCGAAAGAAAATATTTACATTGAGTAATAATCGGTATAAAGAGCCAAGACTTATCTTTAAAAGATATTTAACCTATGTATCAGTTAAGTAGAAAAAGAAATTAAGTTAGAGAAATCCAATAAATCAATAGATTAATAGCTTATTTTTCTTGTAAATAAATATATTTATTCAGTTTTAATTATTAAAATTACTTTTTTTTATGGTATTATTGATTGAATTATGAAACTTAATTAAGTTCTGGTATGGAGAGAATCTAATGCTGATTACTTTATATAATAGCAATAAAAATTGATTGTTTGAGCACTTTAATGTTAATTATCATAAAATTAAGTAATAGCAATTACTACTTTATTTACAAAAGCCATTAATAGTCGGTTTAAGTAGTATACAGAGTGAAAATAGCTAGCTAGCACTTCTTTAAAATTGCCTGATAGAAAGTACTTTAGTTTTTTTATTTTTTCTAGATAAATAAACACATTTACTAACTGAATACAGTATTAAATGTTAAAATCACTANGTCCAGAATGGTGGCAACCGTTGGCTGGTCAGCACCACTCCGTATCCGAGGAGGGGTAGGCTGTGCGCAGGGGCAACACACACACACACACACACACACACCAACCCTTCCGATGCAGGTGGCTCGACGACGTGCCCCATCTGAGGTGTTCGATGCTGTTGTAGGAAAACACTGTTTCTCCATTTTGTCATCTATCGGTTACTCCCCGCTTTATATTTTAATTTTAAAAAAATATATATATTAAATAATTAGGTCAGGTTACCAATTATCATTTTTATGACATGTAAAAAGGAGGATACTACAAGAGGAAGGGTACCATAGAAAATCCACAGGTAAATGATACTTATAATTGGGGAATATCTAAATAGGGTCAAGGTTAATCTCGAAAAAGTTTGAAGGGTGAAATGCGGTGATATTTACAAGGAACCACGCCTTGTTATTTTAGTAAATACCACAGAAAATCTGCCATTGACATGCCTTACTGACTTATAAAAATGGATCATATGTTCAACCGTTATTGATGGAACGGGCAGGTTGGATTATTATTATTATTATTATTCTAAAGGTTCCTTCTAGTAGATCCACAATAAATCCGGAAAACTTTAAGAAGTTTCCTGATTCAATCCGTGATTTCTGTTATTGAAGAGGAACAAATTTACTCGACCAGTAAAGAGCAAAATGGTTTGAAAATAGTAAAAGCCAAACATAGTAAAGTAAACACATAGAGCAGAATAAACAGTTGTTGGGTGCCCTAATGATATATATAATATAATATATAGGTGGATGCAATGGGGGGGGACAAGAGGATCAATAGCACGGCAGACTTCTCAACTGCCTTGGTATAATCCGGTGGCAAATTTTTATTTACCTTCACACACAAACGGAAAGAAGACGGTTGTGCTTCACACAAATTATTTGCTATCGCCTTCCTCGGTATGTTTTCTGACCCAATCAATATTGGTCGACGGCCAGCCGCACCTGCCCCACTTGCCTCCTTTTTTCCTGTTAATTATCCTGTCATTATCCTTGAAATTGTTGTTTCGATACACTATACGGATTCTTTACGTTTTGTGCCAGGTCTTTTGCAATTCGGTATTGTATCAATCGGTGGCACCCGTCTTAAATCTAATTCTGATCTTTACTAATCCAGTCCACACTCACT